TGTTCCGCTCCCCCTGCCATGGGCAGGGACACCTGCCACTAGCCCAGGTTGTTCCAAGCCCTGTCCAACCTGGCCTTGGACACTTCCAGGGAGGGGGCAGCCACAGTTTCTCTGGGCACCCTGTGCCAGCTGGGGTTGGAACAAGATGGTCTTGAAGCTCCCTCCAACCCAAATATATATCCTTCAGTGATATGATGATATATGATATGATAATCCTAAAGTTATTTTCAACCAGCCATATTGCTGCCTAAGCTTTGGCTCATATCTCAAACACAGCTGAAACACAGTTGTCCCAACTGACTGGAAAAACCAGCCAGATAAACATAATCCAAATAAAAAGCCTGTATCCCACTCCAGTTGAAGTTTATGCCCTATTTGACTGAGACTGGGACATGAGAGCCAGCTGGCAGATGGCTTCAGCCAAGCTCTACACAGAAGTGTGTTGGTGAACTCTTCTGACTCAAGTAGAGGTACAATAGGTTGGTAATGGGTCTGGGTGGACAATTTGACCACCCTTTTTTGACATAAGGGGTTGCTAGCACTGGTGCCCTGTTTCTGGATGCTCTAACTGTTCACTGGGCATTTGGACAGAGATCTAAAAGCATAGAATCATGACTGACAGCCTTCCTTTGTAGCTCCCAACTGTGATTCAGGAGGCGGTAAGTGATCACAGCATCAACAGAAGGTTTATGCTCTCTCTACCAGGGTGACAATTTAAAAGTTTAATGATAATGAGCTATCCAGCAGGTCCTTGCTCCAAAACAATTTGATACTTGATCCTACACGGTAGTAGAGGAACAAATTTTCATGTAGAATCCTTCTCAGACCCAACTTTTCTTTTTTTCTATGCAGTGTAACATCCGAAGAACCTCCCAGGAGCGTGATGAAGAGCAAGGATGGAGAGCAAGGGTGATTAGCCTAAAGCCTGGTGGGGGGGTTGGATCTCTTTCTGCCAGCACCTCATCCCTGTAAGTGAACACTAAGAGCTCTGTGCCTGAAGAGCACTCCCAGGCAGCAGACGGCTGAGAGCAGAGATATCCCTGTGCATCCCCCAGGCTTTCTGTGCCGGTGGGGCCGGATGTGCCCGGACACACGGGGCTGGCAGATTGCTATCTTCACAGATCAGCTCCCACTGCAGCTCTGCTTACAGAGGTGCTTGTACTCACAGCAGAGATGAGCCAGCCTGGCTCAGACACACGGCCCCTGCTCAGGGACACTGCCCGCGGGAGAAATGCACACCACGGCTCCATCTGTGCCCCACGTGTGCTCTGCGCAGCACAGGGCGCTGCTCCCTCTGCCTGAGGACCCCTCGCTCGCTGCCCCCGCAGGAACCAGCTCCAGACCCAGCTCCCCCAGAGCCTGCCGAGCCGTTCCCACCAGCGCCACAGCTGCCTCACCCCAGACACTGCGATGGCCAACCCTCTTCCACTTGTCCCTCGGAGCGGCACGGAATGATGTGTCCCAGTTGTTTCTGAATCCCACTGTATTTACTTGGCCATTTGAAAGCCCTTTCAAAGCAGTAGCATTCACATCAGTCCCTTCCTACAGTGTGTCACTGTGACAGCCTCACAGTCACAGAAAATCCAGGAAATAAAGGAACCTATGACCACAAAGGAGTGGCAGCCTGACAGAGGAACCCAGAAGGGGCAGGGGCAACCAGTGCTGAACCTCCACAGGTAAGAAGGGATCAGCTAAGCCAGGATGGAGGCACTCAAACCCCTTCAGGCTGAGAACTTTTGCCGGATAACTAAAACCTTTAAGCCCAACCCCTACCACTCATTAACATCTCCAACGAGGTTTAATTAATGCAATTCACAAAGTATCAGACCCATTTGGACTTGGCCATGGTATTATTGTAATTTTACATTAAATGGGCAAACAGACCATCCTGGTCACCTTCCTCCAGCTGCTGGGTCACTGCTGCAAAAGGTTTGGTCTTAATTCCATACATCATGAATTTTAACATTTCACAGAAGGGTTTGAGCTGGAAGGGACCTTGAAGATCATCCAGTTCCAACCCCTCTGCCATGGGCAGGGACATCTCCCACTAGACCAGGTTGCTCCATGCCCCGTCCAGTCTAGCCTTGAACACTTACAGGGATGGATATTTCTTCCCAATATCCAATCTAACCCTGCCCCCTGTCAGTGTGAAGTCATTCCCCCTTGTCCTGTCACATTTATTTTCTCACGAATGGAACCTGCAGTGAAACTCTTCAGCATCTCCTTATGAGATGAAGGACAGGACATCAGTCTTCATTTAAACTAAAGAGATGATGTTTCAAACTAAAAGATGACAGATTGAGATTAGATATTGGGAAGAATTTCATTCCTGGGAGGGTGGAGAGGCCCCAGCACAGGCTGCCCAGAGAAGCTGTGGCTGCCCCATCTCTGGAATTGTCCAGGGCCAGGTTGGACGGGGCTTGGAGCAACCTTGTCTAGTAGAAGATGTCACTGCCCATGGCAAGGGGCTTGAGACTAGATAATCTTTAAGGTCCCTTCCAACCAAAACCATTCTGTGATTTTAGGATTCTTAAGGCACTTTGGAGCCACTGAAAAATACCTGTGAACTCACTGGAAAGCTTTTTTCTCTACAGACACACTGAACAATGAATTATCTTCATTCTTCAATAAAAAAATAACAAAATGAGATCCTAGTCCTGCAGTCAAACCTGCTAAACCATCGTGCAACCAACAGGAAGGATGCTGGAGTCTTTGCTGTGGGATCTGGTTACAGGCTTGGAGCAGAGCTATTAGAATTAGTCAAGTAGTTTTCCATTCAGGAACCCAGATCATCATAAGCATCTGGAATGCCCCGTCGCTGAGCCCAGTGCGAGAATTACTCGCATCACATCATCTCCCATAATATGCATTGACATTTCATTTAGGAGCTGGATTCTTTTTTTTTTTTTTTTCTTTGTTAAATCATTGCAAGATGCTCAGCAACTTAACAGATTTTCAGACAACTGAACTTTATGTTCAGGGTCTTCGGGCCCATCATTAATTTTTTCCCCCGCCTGATTTAATGATATGACAATCGATAAAGCCACGACCACTGCTCAGATCCCAGACAGCCAAATGTATTTACCAGCAGGACTATTTTATTTTAATTAAATAAATCCTCTGATCAATGTTTAGGATGTTTATCCACATTTTAACCAAGTAAGATCCAGGGCACTCGCTCTTACCTCCTAAGGAGTATCTCATGTGGATACAGCTTTATTAGCATCATTTTCAGTGTTTCTCAAATGACAAACCGTTCCTCGACTGCAGCAATGCCACCAAGATGTCTCTGCCCATGGCAGGGCATTGGACTAGATGACCTTTAAAAGCCCCTTCCAACCCAAACCCTTCTGGGATTCTGTGATTCATGACCCACCCAGGAGAAGAACCCTCAAGCTGTTTCTGTTTGGGGGTGTGTTTGTATTTTAAGGATTTCAGATAAACCTGGTCTAGTGGAAGGTGTCCCTGCCCACAGCAGAGGGTTGGAGCTGGATGAGTTTTAAAGTCCTTTCCAACCCAAACCACTCTGTGATTCCCTGATTCTGTGAACATCACCGTCTGCTCTGGAATTTGCCGGAGGAGTTCAGGCAGAGCAGCACCCACCGTTTTGTGCACACGGCCTCTTTTACCTCGAGACAGCAGCTCCCAAAGCTTCAGCACTTTGATCCCCGCAGAAGAGATAAAGAGCCCACGTCAGCAGCCGACGAGCCTTCTCCCCCCAGTGCCCCCGGACAGATGTGCCTCCTATTCACCCCGCCGCTGGGGTTCTGGGTGACTAACTCGCTGACACTGCCGAGCCCAGAGGGCATGTTTGAGTTTGTGCTCAGTGCCGGGAGCATGCCCAGCACTCCCTCCTGACAGGTGGAGGAAGAGGAAGCTGGAAACTTGAACTTTTGCAACAACAATAGCTTCTGTTCCTCTTGGCCTCTTAACCATTTCCCCCAGCCCTGTCCCAATATGTCACTGTTTAACTGCGGGGCGGGCGGCGCCCACCCTCTCAGGAACTGCCCTCTGCTTTGCAGGAGGAGGGAAGAAAAACAAACCTAACAGTATCTCAGAACACGAAAGCACAGTGCCTGTTAGAGGCCAGGGAAAGGATCTGCCTGGGCAGGAGGACATGGTGAGCTGTTCAAATCCCTTTGGTGTGGCTGCTGTCTTCCTGGAGAGAGCTCACGGCTGTTTCTCACCATCCTTCCAGGGCCAGTAACACACCACGGTGCTCTGAAAACACATGGACCTGCACAGGGTGGGGTAGGGTAGATACAGATGGGCAGGGCTCGGAGCAGCCTGGTCTAGTGGAAGGTGTCCCTGCCCATGGCAGGGGTGTGGAAGTGGGTGAGCTTTAAGGTCCCCTCCAACCCAAACCCTTCAGTGATTCTACAGTTGGCATCACCAGGTTTGGAAGAGAATGTGCAGCCTCACACAGAGGAGCCCTGATTCAGTCAGTCACCCCAATGCAATAGCTGAGCTGAGCCTTGGAAAAATACCCCACCGGCCTGCTAGCCTGACTCTGGCAGTGGCCAGCAGCAGACAGTCAGGAAAAGAACATGGGTCATCACTGTTTGCAGATGGATTTGAGCATAATACACTAACCTGTGACAATACACTTCCACTGGAGGTGGCACATGTTACCTGCTCAGCTCACTCTGCACAGATACAAATTCAAGGGTCAGACTCCCTCGCATCCACTGAGAGTCACAGTTTATGTGCTGTGGAAGACAGCACTCAGCTTCTGTTTGTAACCTGCTGCCTGACATCTCCCTGGGTGCTCCTTGGCTCCTGAGCTGTGAGGGAAGGGGAATAATTGCTCCCATGGTTGTACAGGCCACATTAGCACTGGTGGACTGCTTCTCCTCCAAACTGAGCTGCTCGCTGAGACTATCCTACACTCAGCTCTGCTGATAAACCTGCACCAGCTGCAATTAACCACGTGATGGTTCCCAGATGTATTCCAAACACACGCAAACTCCCACACATCCAGGCCTGTTGGTGTCTGCTTCCAGAGAGAGGGACAGTTAAGGCTTTAAAACTGTTTTGGAAAGAAGCATGAGGTCTCCTGTCTCCTGTGGCCATCTGGGTGCCGACTGCGGAGATATCAGCCCGTGACTCAGTGTGCAAACCCCAACAGTCCTGGGAGGCCAAAATACACCAAGAAGCATGAAAAAAGGGCAGTTTTTCAGTTGTCCAGTACAGGAAAGCACAGCACACACAAGTCTTCCCCAGTACTTCATAGTCAACATGAAGAAATCTGGGGTGCTGTATCTGAGTTCCCAGGGCCGTGGGCCAAATCAAACTCAATAACCAGTCACAGAACTTCCACTGAAACCCAGACCTGGATAATTTGGTCATTTAGAAGAAAAGATTAAAGGGGACATTTACAGGAAAAACATCTGTTTATCCTAAAAGCCCAGGTGTCTGTCAACTCAGATACACACAGTCAAATGCAGGCCCAGCATCATATAAACATGGAGCAACGGAAACAAATGTAATTAGAAATCATCTCCCAATCCTGTCTCCAACCTGCCCTCGCTATCACTGCTGAAGATGTCTCACACCTGTTCAGGACAGAGATAAGGTACATGCTGGCTGGTGGCCAGAGGCCATCATGCTCTGTGAGCCACTGGCATGACATCTATGTTCACCCTAAAAAGCCTTCAAGCGTCCCTTGAGCCTCAGGCATAACACTCAGAGTTATTCTGTGAGAGAAAATGCTCCAACGGGTACAACACAGGATACCTGCTCCTGTAAAGGCTCACCCACTCCTCACAGTGCCTTCCCACGATCAGATGTTCCAAGTAACCAAAGCCTGACTCACTACTCAAATCTTGTGTGCAGTTCCAGGCCCCTCACGGCAAGACAGACACTGAGGTGCTGGAGCGTGTCCAGAGAAGGGAATGGAGCTGGGGAAGGATCTGGAGCCCAGGTGTGATGAGGAGCGGCTGAGGGAGCTGTGGGGGGACCTTCTCGCTCTCCACACCTCCCTGACAGGAGCATGTAGCCGGTAAAGGGTTGGTCTGTTCTCTCAGGTAACAAGTCACAGCACGAGGGGAAGCAGCCTCAAGTTGTGCCACAGGAAGTGTAGGTTCGATATTCAGAAAAATTTCTTCATGGAAAAGGTGGTCCAGCCCTGGCACAGCTGTCCAGGACAGTGGGGGAGTCCCCATCCCTGGAAGGTTTTAACAGCCATGTAAATGTGGCACTTGGGGACATGGGGCAGTGGTGGCCTTGGCAGTGCTGGGGAATGGTTGGACTTGAGGATCTCAGAGGGCTTTTCCAACCCAAACAGTTCTGTAATTCTGTGACAGAGCACAGAAACAAAGGGGAGGCTGTGGGTGTGCAGCAGGGTATACAGCCACCAGCCCTGCCCTGACCAGCGGGAGCACAGAGCAGCCCTCTTGCTGCTCTGCCTGACCAGGCTCACAAATCACCCAGACAACCCTAAGCAGCAGCTTCCTGCAATTACAAGCAGCAGAACACATGTGCCAATTAGCTGCACACCAATATCCTCTTTGGCCCTTGATCTAGGCCAGATCTCAGCCCTGCGGTGCAGCAGAGCCAGGCTGCTTCATCTGAGATCCTGGAGACTGGATGGAGTATCCCCTGGCTGCAGGCCAGGAGGGCTCTCCCCTCCCTCTCCTTTTCCTCACCTCTCCATCTCCTCCCTTCCCTTCTACACAGGGACAGCAGCTCCCATCTCTCCTGGGTGCCTGTGCTGGGTGGGAGATCTCAGCCTGAGACACACACACGTGTGTGGTGTACACAAGAGAGCAGCAATGTCTCTTCCTGTCCTACACAAACTTCCAGGCTGCCAAAAAATCTGAATTCCATACTAGCTGAGGGCAGCACCTGGGGCCTGGGAAACCTCTGGGATTCTGAGAGAGGCTAGGCAGAAGGACCAGGCTCTCCTCAACAAGCAGCTCCAGGGTTCTCACACTTCTCTTCCCGTTTACCAGGAAACCTGTTTTCCTCCTACAGTCCCAGACCTTGTCCCTGACAATGGTTGCAGCCAGCAGTCAGCGACAGGGCACTGTTGCTCACAAACCATCCAGGGAGCCTTTGAGTGGCTCCCCAGAGGTCTGGCCACAGGAGGAACACGTCTCCTGGGGACCAGTCACACCTTGGGCCTGAGAAACCGGTTCATTTGTTACCACCTCGGGAAATGTGATGCTGCCAGACACTCCTGAAAGGTGCCACAGCACCACCCAAACAGGGCAGGCACAGCCAACTGTGACAAGAGGCCTGTTGCCATGGGCTGGAGCTCTGGAGATGCTCCACTCCCTATGAGATATGCCTTTGGTCACCCAACCACTCACCTCCCCGACTTCCTTGGCTGGGCAGGGCTCTCTCCCATGCTCCTTGTGGGAGACAAGCCCCTGGAGACCTCGTGGCTCAGGCTGAGGGGCACACAAGAGCTGTTTGTTCAGAGACAGATCCCCGCAAATGAGCCTCTGCAGGGTCTGGCCCAGAGGGGTATGTTCATACCTGCTGCACAGCACGGCCTCAAACTTCGTCCTCCCTCGGCACGAGGATCTGCAACCCACCTCCCACTTCACAAGTAACAGTGCTCCCCACCCCTCCACACCTGCTCTGGATCTGAGATAGCAAGGTGAGCACCCCACAGGGGCAGGGAGCAGCCAGCCCCGCTGCTTTATCCCAAGAATGAGTGACGAGGCACAGCTGGTGGAGAGGATGAGCCCCTCCTTTCCCCATGTGCTGGTAGAGCTTCCTGCCTTCCCAGCCCTTGGCACGCTGTGTTCTCACGTGGCTCTGAACCCTGCTCACCTGTTGACTTCCAAAACGTTGTTGATCCTTGCAGCTTCCAGCAGAGCATCCTCTGAAATGCAGGAAGAAGAGAAAGGGGGTTGGCACAGAGACACACAAATGGACATCCTACCCCGGAATGTGCAGGGGCTGAGCTCACAGCTCTCACCCAGTGAGCACGGGGCTATTCCTGCGTGCAGGTTACCCCCAAGCCCCTCGCCCCAACACCTGGCAAACAGGGGGCTGTGGGGTGCACGGTCACCCCAGCCTGTCACAGCCTGAGACAGAGGTTTCCACAGCAGGGCCAGCGAGTTCCCACCACAGGCTCAGAATGACATCTCCTGGCTAGAGAGGGGAAGGGCAGCACCCAGCTCTAGGAGACGGGAAAAGGCATGATTTGGGGAGGGAGGGACCTTAAAGCTAATCTTGTTCCAGCCTCCCTGCCATGGGCAGGGACACCTTCCACTAGCCCACGTTGCTCCAAGCCCCATCCAGCCTGGCTTTGAATATTTCCAGGGATGGGACAGCCACAGCTTCTCTGGGCACTCTGTGCTGGAGCCTCGCCACCTTCAAAGGGAATTATTTCCTCCCAATATCTCATCTAACCCTGCCCTATGACAGTGGGAAGCCATTCCCCCTTGTCCTGTCCCTCCAGGCCCTTGCCCAAAGTCTCTCTCCAGCTCTCCTGTAGCCTTTTAGGCACCGAAGCACCAAGGATAACCCCTCCCCTAGAAGCTCCCCAGGTCAGCGCCAGCAGGCAGGCTCCGTGCCAGGCAGGCCCCGCACGCCCCCAGCAGCGATAGTCACCCTTGGACAGGCGGTCCCGCAGGTAGCAGTAGGCCAGCGCGGCGATGAGGGCGGGCAGCCCCGCTGCCGGGGGGCAGCTCCCGGCTCCGCTCTGATGCCCGCCGGGGTCTCCCGCGATGCAGCAGCCCTGCT